ATCATACTCACTGGATTATTTCGCTTGTCCTTTCTTAATTAAAACGTACTTCCCTTACTTTTTTACACCCCCCCACCCCCACCCCCATCACAAAAATGAAGAAAATGGACACTATTTCCTTTTTTTAATGCCCATCTCAGACCAACCCTCCATTTGTTTATTATTACACTGTAAATATACCATGTTATTGTTTCACTGTAAATATACCATAATTTTATTGTTACGCTGTAAAAATAACATGTTATAGATGCACTTTGAATATATCATGTTATTGCTACACTGTAAATATACCATTTTATTGTTACACTGTAAATATATTGTTTTATTGTTACACTTTGAATATTCCATGTTATAGTTATACTGTAAATAATATACCATGTTGTTATTACACTGTAAATATACAATCTTACAGTTACACTTTGAATATACCGAGTTATATTTACACACTAAATATTCCATTTTATTGTGACACTGTAAATATATTTTTTTGTTCCACTGTAAATATACCATGTTATAATTACACTATGAATATACCGGGTTATAGTTACACTGTAAATATACCATGTTACTTTTACATTGAAAACTATACTGTGGTACTGTTCCACTGAGCAAATATTGCCATTGCGACAGTGTCCAATACCTGTTGTGACGTCTCCCAGTTGTGCCTTTGAGCAAGGATAGCAGGTGAAGAGAGTTGTAAGTACGTTTAAGTAATAAGTACGTTTATTCAGTGTTTAAGGCCATTGGCCCACATAACATCATATAAAACACTCATTTAGGTGGAGAGAGTATGAATGAGTGAAAGGTGATCATTATTAGAATGAACTGGAAGAATGAAAATAAAAACATACAAGACGTAAAAGGCTTTTTAATGAAGTGTTGGCCTTCCAAGCGTTCGAAGCCTTCAGGTTACTGTGAAGATAAAGAGAAACGATGTGCAAGTGTTTGCCTGTGTGTGCCATTATATCTTTGTGTATGAAGAGAGGAAAAGTGTATGTGTATGTATGTGTATGTGTGTGTGTGTGTGTGTGTGTGTATGTGTGTGTGTGTGTGTGTGTGTGAAGAAAGAGA